ATCTATAAAAGCTATAGAAATTAAAAAATATGAATATATGATAATTACGATCTGTGTATTTTTTAATCTAAAAAAATGAAATTTTTACTTCAATCATTTTTTCTTATTTATTATAATTATTAAAAACTTCTTAGGACAATCTCAACCAAACTCCGATTAATTTAACCGGCGAAATCGCTTGCATAAAAAATGTATTTAAAAAATCCCAATTGTATAAATAATTCGTCTCTAATTTGTTATTTTCAACAAATAAATGTATGTTGAACGATAAGAAACTAATAATTCTGTTCATGTTAACAAAATAACAGTATCAATTAACAAGTTGGAATTTAGTCGGAGTCATTCTTAATCAATATTCGTTCAAGGATTTTTTATTTTGACATATTTGAATAGATCGGTATATCGGTTTGCATAAGAAACAGTTAGTCTCGTTATCGTTTCTTTCTCATACATCTTGCTGATAACGTTAAGACTAAAATAGATATATGTAACTTCATAAATTATTTAACGTCGAAGATAATTATGTTTTTCATCGTTTTTGTTTGAATTACAGCAAAATAAAGATTCCTATCTTAATGTTAGCATAACATTTGTTCATATCACTCAGATGAAATTAAGTAATCACGATAGTTGATAACTGATAGGAAACTTTAGTCGTTCTGATTAGTCGTTCGCCATGCGATAGATCATGCGATGCAATTTTATTTTTAATTCTAACGTAATTAATAATAATTATATTGTTGATATTACATTATTGATACCGGATATACCTATAGTACCTATATGCATAATGTAACGAAAATGTGAATGGATCGCGTGATGTTAAAAAAATATAACGATTTAAAAAGAGAAATTTCGTCATTAAAAGTTTGTACTTTTTAATTTTCCAAGAATTTAATTTCATTGATAGAATTACGCTAATGCAAAATGATTCACAAGTGTCTTATGTAACTAGTGTGGTTAGCTTATATAATTAGCTTAATATTAATGTGTATGATTAAAAAATTTATTAAAAATCTATACAATGTTGTTTATAAATATCTTTTGCTTTTCTTATAAAACTGTTGCTCAATTAAATAAACTGAAAAAGTCATTACAATAAAGAATAATTTAAAGTTTTAGAGCATCGATTATTTTGCTGAGTTTTGAATAATTATCCAATTACTAATCAATATCAACATTATTTTTCCTTTTACATCTATTACATAGCCATCATCAAGAAAAATATGAGGCAATCAGTTTATGACGTTTTATAAAATGAATAGTCTGATTAATGCCTCGAAGATAAATCGAGCATAATATCGTACGATGTAGCGTGAAACAGAAGATTTAACATAACTGTAGCGACAATTTTACACGCATGTAATCATGTATAATATATGCTCATTGATATTTAATTTTTTCCCGTAACCACGTAAATATTTTTTTCCTTTTATTACAATGACTTAATACTTGGCTCGTAGACTACATTCTCTGTCACCAATGAGTCATGCGTTGAGTTGTTTCTTCAAATTATCAGCAAGTTTGTTCATAAATTCAAATGTTTCGAGATAATCGGCCCTGGTGACGTTGTCCATACCCTTGATGCATATGGCGAGGTCCTTGGTGAAATAACCAGATTCGATGGTGTCGATGCAAACCTTTTCTAGCGTTTCGGCAAAGTGTTGCAAACGCGAATTGTCATCGAGTTTAGCGCGATGTAGTAGGCCGCGAGTCCACGCAAAAATAGAGGCGATCGGATTGGTGGATGTCTCCTTGCCCTGCTGATGCTGACGGTAGTGACGGGTGACGGTGCCATGGGCAGCTTCGGCTTCAATCGTCCGACCATCCGGACATAAGAGAACCGACGTCATCATGCCCAAGGAACCATAACCCTGTGCCACCGAATCCGACTGTACATCACCGTCGTAGTTCTTACACGACCATACAAAGCCACCGCTGGATTTCATAGCATAGGCTACCATATCATCGATCAACCGGTGTTCGTACCATATCTTCTTCGCCTCGAATTGCTGTTTGTATTCCTTATCGTAGATCTCCTGGAATATGTCCTTGAAGCGACCATCATATTTCTTGAGGATCGTGTTCTTCGTGGATAGGTACAATGGATAGTTGCGCGATAACGCGTATTGGAATGAACTATGAGCAAAAGCGCGAATGCTCTCATCAGTATTATATTGAGCCTGGGCGATACCGGGACCTTGAAAATCGTGGACGGTGTATTGGATCTTTTCACCGGAATTGCCAGTCCACATGATTTCTAATTTACCCGGCCCCGGTACCACGAAATCCGTTGCTTTGTATTGATCGGCATGTGCGTGTCTGCCAATAATGATTGGCTCCTTCCAGCAGATCACTAGACGCGGTATGTTCTTGCAGATGATCGCCTCGCGGAATACCGTGCCGCCCAGGATGTTCCTGATAGTGCCGTTCGGACTTTTCCACATCTGTTTCAGCTTGAATTCCTCTACTCGTTTTTCATCGGGTGTGATGGTGGCGCACTTGATACCGACATTATAACGTTTGATTGCTTCAGCGCATTCTACTGTCACTTTATCGTCTGTAGCATCACGATTCTCGATGCCCAAATCATATGTATGCAATTCGATGTCTAAGTAGGGCAAAATGAGTTTCTCCTTAATCGAATCCCATATGATACGTGTCATTTCATCGCCAAGAATGTCGACGACTGGACCTACCTAAAAATTGCAAAATATTTCCAAGATTAAAAATAAAAAAAAAACAAGAATATTTAACAGATTTTTGTTCTTCTAGGCAAACCTTTTTTTATACATTCCATTTTGTAAATTAATATTAATTAAAAATGTCTTTTTGAAATACTACAGTCTACATATATTGGACTCAATATTTTAATATTTTTTTCTTAAATACAGCTTCCGGTAAAAAATTTTTCATGCATGAATATGTATAAACATACAGAAATATTCATAAAATTACTTTTTAGTGTAACAGAAATAATAATAATAATAATGTAAAACATTAAAAATAATTAAAAGGATAACTTTCACTTTCTAGAAAAAAATAAATTATGTATAATTATATATATATATATATCAAATTATGCATAATTGTGTATGAGCAATTTTTTTTTATATTTTTCCAAACTTGTTTTTTTCTGAAATGAACAAGGTACAACTTTGTTGTACCTTTAATTATTTTTAATGTATTTTGATTTTATACATGTTTATAAATATTTATGTATGTTTATACATATTTATACATGTTCATGAAAAATTTTTGACTGAGAGTATTCTCATATTTTTAATTATTATAGATATATGAAATTATTACAGATAATATTCAAGATTAGCGATAATATTCATGATTTTATATTAATAAAATAAAAAGTCAGATCGGTACAAAGTTCACTTTCACACTCCCTTTCTTTGAAGCAATCAGGGTTATCATACCGGTTTTAAATCCCTCCTCCCACTTTAATGAATCTCGCCTCAGGATATCAATTATATAACTCCTTCTCCAGAACAGAAAAAGTGAAAATCAATCATTATGTATGTAAACATACAACAAATTTTCACTTTTCGCATTTCCGACGAAATCTAGGGAAACAATTACGTGATTGATCATTCGATGAGACATGTATTTTAAAGTGGACAGTTGATTCACATTTACCTTTATTTTTGCCATTGTTGCGAATGAGGCGCCGAGAATGCTCTTCACGAGTTGTTCCGTTGACGATAGATGTTGCAGCAGGTGCCGACGGTGACAATCGGATTCTCGTACAGCGAATGAGGACGACGATGATGTGGATGACGTGATACTGTAGTAAGTGGCAGACTGTAATGAGCGTACAGTCCTTATAAAATGTGCATATGGCTGGAAGACACGGTGGGGCGCAAGCATGGCAGCGAATAATGCGTCACCCACCTCTCTATCTATACGTGTACTTTTTTAATATTCCCTCCTCCCTGTATTGTTTCTCTACCTTTTTTCTTTTTTCTCTATTTCACGACGCACTTGACTCTTTTTTTTTTAAATCAATTACAAACACTACGTAGAACGTTTAGCTTAAGATTGATCTGCAATCACTGCAATGATAAGAGTTATCACGCAAAGTCACATGTTCGGTCTTAGAATACTCGATTCCAGAAATTCTTGCTCGAGTGAAATTTAATGCATCTCTATTTCTTTATCTTTCCCTTCCTTTCCTATGCTGAGAACGAATGCGACGTGACTGACGTAATTGATCGGCGTAGGGGAGAGGAATATGCGTTTTATTGCGTTGTTTGTTATCGTATAAATTCATATTTTTCCAGAAAGCGAGTATGCATGCGAGAAATGCATTGATGTGATGTAGTACTTGTAGTTTTACGTGTCTATTAGCATCTATCGAGATTCTCTAGATCTGGAGATCTTTCGGAGACCAGATCAGACTTCATTGAGATTTAGAGTTTCGCTATTTCGAGATATTTGGAGCACTGCTGCTACAATTGGTTGTAAATGAAAATAAAGGGCAACGTAAACACATGAATCATACTTTCTCTCTCTGTCTGGCCTAACGTTCTTAGCAAGAGTCGCTATTGCGTGAATTCATCAGAAAAATTTCACTATTAGAGGGAACAGTTGGCAACACTTTTGTATCTAGGAGATCTTTCTATTGGACGTACATTTACTCCAAATAGGTCTGTTCGCATTGCTTGAAATTTCAAAAAAAAATTTTGCATTAAAAGTGAGATAAATATATATATATATATATATTTATTT